CTTCGTTCCATATAGAACTTGGTTTAACGCCGTTATTCAAATTGATAACACTATTCCGCTGACAGATGTTTGATGGATGCTTTCAACAACATAAATCAAACATCGAAAAAAAAACACTGGGAAACGCCCAAAATCACATAATCGGACCACATTCTATCGCACACGTCAGAGGTCCCTTTGAGCGAACCCTCGAATCCAATTTACTACCATGTCCCCTTAATTCCAATGAGAAAATATCCAAAAACTAGAAACGGCCACTCCTTCATTAGGTGCCGCTATAACAAAATAAAGGCGGTTAATGAACAGAAAGCACCAATAAACAGTCATTCAAGCGGAGGATGAGGAAGGAAAAAACAACGAACTGCATGACTTATATGTGAAATGGATTCCCATAGGAATGCATTAATGGATTTCTGCTGACTGAAATCGACAGCGAGTGCATTGTCAATTTTGGAGACGAGAAAAAAGAAGGCAAATGTCGACGTTGGGATGAGATTGATGGTCAGCACCCACCTTTCGTTCGCTCTCCAAATCGGCCTTGTTTCCAACTAACATCAGCACAGCGTTTTGTGGTGCATGTTTCCGGATTTCTTTCAGCCAGTAGCTCTCCAAATTACTAAATGACTTCTCGCTTGTCATATCGTATACGCACATAACGCCATGTGCTGAATGATAGTACGAATTATATATGGTCCTATATCTTTCCATACCGGCGGTGTCCCACAACTCTAATCGGATCTGAAACGAAAACAAACGCGTGTGCTTATCGAGAAAACGGCAGATATAAGAAAGCTGCAATGAAAACGAAAATGGGAAACCATTCATTGAAGAAATGCCGAGGAAAACAAAAATACGGTAGAAATTGCGGACATTACTTTATCACGACCGAGTTTCATGTTTTTCAGTTGAAACTAACACCTAATGTACTGACGTGGTCCGTTCGTTATGTGTTCCTGGTAAATCGCAGTAGTATACGCATACGAAAGGAGAAAAAAGAGAGAAAGAAAATAAAACGAAGAGAATAAAAAATGGAGCGGTAAAATTTGAATTTGGATCGAAGCACTAAGATAACTTAAGAACGAGTTTTAACAGAATGAAGATTATTAATGTTATAGATTAACATCACTTTATTAGGTACAATTATTTGGCTTAGGCTCGAATGTTTTCACTTCTCATGAATAAGAAACTACTGGTCTGTGATCAATCACATGTTAAATCCGTCTGATACACAATCGGGACTTTCTGCTGTACCTGCTTCATAGTTTTTGGCTTCTTCCATTATCATGAAATAGTTCATAACAACTAAAGATTACCCGTTTAAGTGCTCCACAAGGACATAATCTTCACTTTTCAATTGTTATATCTTATTATTACGCGCTGTAGAATGTCATGCACTCCCTATCACCATCAACAAGAACCCTTACACCATCAATGGGTAGGCGACCTCGTTATAGGATGAGGCCGACCTTACCGATGAACGGACTGACCTCAGAGCGACAGGTAGCGCATCCGATCATCCCGACTACTCCATCTTCCTATGACGTTGAAAAACGACGAGTTCTCGTCAAAACAATTTCCAGTGCTGTTGGTGTGGGTGTGGCTGTGGGTGTCTTCTCTCATCAACAAGAACCCTTGCAGTATCGGAGCGCTGCTGACCTCACCTCATTACAGAGTGTGGACAAGTGTAGTGATGATCTGACTGACCCCCAGAACGACAGGTAGAGCATACTATCTTCTTGATTAGATGGTCATCCTATGACGGTGATGAACGACGGGTTCTTGTCAGAACAGTATGGGGTGCTATCGGTGTCGATGTCGGTTAAGGAAATTCGGTGATCATTCGATAGTAGACGAGGTCAAACCTCATGCAACACACAAGCACGGGCCGTCCGAGACTCCTCCTCAATACCTTGCGCTCTTTGCACTTTCGGTCGGTCGACGTGCTGTGTGTGTTCGTTTTCGGTCGGTCGACGTGTTGTGTGTGTTCGTTTGTGTGTGTGTGTGTGTGTGTGTGTGTGTGTGTGTGTGTGTGTTCGTGTGTGTGTGCGTCTGTCTGTGCGTGCGTGAGTACGTGAGTGTGTGTTCGTTTGTGTGTGTGTGTGTGTGTGTGTTCGTGTGTGTGTGCGTCTGTCTGTGCGTGCGTGAGTACGTGTGTGTGTGTTCGTTTGTGTGTGTTCGTTTGTGTGTGTGTGTGTGTGTGTGTGTGTGTGTTCGTTTGTGATTCATTGGATCGACCGCCAACCCCCACCACACTCGTAATAACCTCCATGCGCAGCTATGAGCTACAATCATCTATTCAAAGTAAGTACCTTCGTATTCAGTTTCCCTATTTCTAAACTATCGTTAATGTTTCGTTCCACGTTCAGAGCTCATATTAAATTCTTTTCGTTTCGTTTTTCGATTTCCTTTCACTCTCTCCCTCCCTCTCTCCCTCTCTCTCTCTCTCTCTCTTCTCCTTTCGTCATCATTTCAGATAGTCGTAGTTGGCGACCACAATTGTGGCAAGTCATGCATATTACTGCGATTTTCCGAGAACACATTCCGAACGGACCACGTCAGTACACTTGGTGTCGATTTCAAACTAAAAACTATCAAACTCGGGCGTGATAAGGTAACTGTCCGCAATTGCACACAGTTTACGTTTTTTTTTCTCAGTGAATGGTTTCCCATTTTCGTTTTCATTGCAGCTTTCTTATATCTGCCGTTTTCTCGATAAGCACACGCGTTTGTTTTCG